TCTGCTAGCAACACAAAACAGAGGGTGAACGTGCAGAAGGGAAAGAGCAACATCCCAATTCACAAGTGGCTACCACCCAAGAACAGGGACGACAGATCAAACTCACTTATTTTATTTAATGTTCCAGTATCGGAAGAAAGCTTGCTAAAAGGTAGGGCTGCCTTCGACAAAGAGCAGTGGGATAAACTCTGCTCAACCCTTGGAATGTGCGACGTCCCAGCCAAAATATGCCACCTTTTCAAAGGCCAAAATGTCTCGAAAGGAAAACCCCTTCCAATGAGGGTAACTATTGACTCGGCACGACTTGCTGAAGACATCATCCTTTCACTCCAAAGACCATCGGTCAAATTGTCCTCGCTGATTCGTATCAGGCATGACAAGCCGTGGTCGGTACGTGCAAAAGCCAGAACTGCGCCAGGAACCCGAGAACAGACCACCATGGTAGTTCACGGTATACCCGAACTCACCAGCGGTAACGCGGACGAAGCTTCACGAGCACGATGTACAACAGTGGCGATGCCTATCGCGTAGCCTATCCCTCCACACCACGATGGCTGTTTGCATTCCTAGGTTGGCCCGCCCGTCACACCTTACGTCTATCAAGTCACCACGCCTGATGGCTGTAACACTTAGGAATAGGGAAGACCTGACTGAGACACTACAAGCTTGGTACAGTTCGAGGAACAATCTGCCTATCCACATCAGATGCTGCGAGAGCCGACCTAGATATGTGAGACAACAGCAGGGAGGCCAAAATGAACGCACAAAACTGATAGTTAAACTCGGTCAACTACCTCAGGCACAAGACGTGATTGAACCAACCGCACAGGCAAAAAACCTGCAGAGGCCAGTTCCCACAAAACTGGCCGATTCAGTTTGAATAACTTGTCTGAAAATCCGACAACGGCTGCTGCTGCGAACGTGCACCAGGCGCTGAGACAAACCACCAAGTGCCTCTATATCAACGTAAGAGGACTAAGGGGTAAGCAAATAGAAATCAGGAATATGTGCTCTCAGATGGATTTGAAGATCTTAATCCTAACAGAAACATGACCATCCCCTGATATTGCAGACGACGAAGTGAGTTTGCCAGGCATGACACTCTTCCGAAGTGATAGGGAACACCAAACTGGAGGTGGAGTGGCGATATATATATATATATATATATATATATATATATATATATATAGCCACTTAAAAGCAGAGCGACTTTACGACACCCAACTAACTGATGTGACAGAATCATGTTGGTGTTGTTTCCACTCGAATGGCACGAAATACTTGATTGGAGGGATCTACCGACATCCTTCGTGTACTAAGGCCCAAAAGAGCGAACTGATTGAGGTAATACTGCAACTACCACTCCTGGGGTTTGATCAAATACTTTTAGCTATAGATCTCAATACCCCATCTTCAAATCTCAGCAATCAGGGCATAACTCCCACTGGTTGGTTCCAAAGACAACTTGGCACAGCCATTAGAAGCTCTGGGCTGACTGAGCACGTATGCAGTGCCACTAGGTGGACTAAGGAAGGGAAGTCCTGAAACCTGGATTATCTGTTAACTAATGACCAGCTCCTGGTTGAGGATGTTCACGTCCGCGCACCATTAGGAAGTAGCGACCATGGCACAGTCTTGTGTAACATGGTGATAAACGAAACTCTCACACAGGACAAAAACGAGCACTATCTTTGCTACAGTAGGGCAAATTATACACGCATGAGAGAGGTGCTCCTACATGCCACATGGCCAGGGAAGTGGTGGAGGCTGGCAGTAGATGATCACTGACAAGCAGTGAGGGATATCATCCAAAACGCTCTCATAGACAATGTGCCTCAGTCACACCAAAAACGCCGGAACAGAAGAAACTGGGTTAGGCACGGCACTGAACGCTTGCTGCAGCGGAGAGGAAAGCCTGGCACAAGTGGAAGTTCTCCTTGAAGGATTCCGATCGCAGTTCTTACTTGGCATTGAGAAACAGATGCAATACCAAAGTTCGAAGCGGCAGGAGACAATTCCAGACGAAGCTAGCTACCGAAATAGAGGCAAACCCGAAAAATCTGTTTAGGTTCATGTCGAAAAGAAAGCCTACTAATCAAGGGTTGTGCTCTCTAAATGGACCAAACGGGGAAGACCTCACCAACCTAGAGATCTTCAACACCACTTTTGCTGGTCAATTAAACCAGGCGCCTACATGTTCAGAGTATTACGCCAACCCAATGCCAGCTGACGGCTTAGGGAACATCCGTATCACTCCTGACCTAGTATTAAGGAAACTAAAATCCTTACGCCCAGGTAAGTCACCAGGTTTTGACAAAATCCGCCCTATAGTCTTTCAACAGTGTGCTGAAGTCCTCTGTTCACCGTTATGCGACCTGTTCAGGCATTCACTGGAGTCAAACCTATTCCCAGCTGAATGGAAACAAGCTGCTCTCTCTCCAATCTTCAAAGGAGGAGATAGAAAGGACCCAGACTGTTACAGACCAGTCGCACTACTACCTATATTATCAAAGGTTATGGAAGGACTAGTGAACGAACAAATGAGGGAGTACATGGATAAGAACGGTTTAAAACTCAACCAACCGAAGGGTCACATCATGCCTCATATGACGCAAACGACCTATACTCTCAATGGAAGTCCGCTCCCTAATGTCTCCTCAGAGCGCGATCTTGGTTTAATAACCACAGAAAGCCTCCACACCAGTCCAAACTATGTAGGGAATGCAGCCAAGGCTAATGCGACTCTTCACTTTATGCAAAGACAGCTTGATGCTATCACCCCGAAATTATTTTTACCCCTGTTTAAGACGTACGCGCGCCCACACTTGGAAGTTCTCAACGTCTTCGCGCCCCCTCTGCTTAAAAGAGACATAAATCTCTTGGATCGAGTGCATAGACGAACAACCAAATGGGGGATAGGGTTGAAAAATAAACCGTACGACGATAGACTCCAGCTCTTGGGATTAATTCCACTGAGCTAAAGGAGAATCATAGGCTATCTAATTATGGCGTACACCGTATTAAACACACCAAACCATCTAAACGTGAGCATCTTACCGAAGCATCACCACCACTCCCCTCGAGGCAATCCTCGAAAGATTGTTCATCAAAAAGCGAATACTCAGATTCGTGCACACTTTTTCTCACTGCGAGTCGTCACAACTTAGAATGCTCTCACAACCGAGGTAGTTATAGCCCCTCAGTAGACTGCTTTAAGAAGAGACTTGATAATCACGTCCTCACATGCGGACTATCATCTCCCTCTTGGACAAGCTGTTCATGATGCATATCTTGAGACCTGCTAGTTGTAACCATATCCATCTACTCAGATCAATCAATTAATCTGTCTCGCCTATTATCTCTGTTTCCTCTCTCTTGCTTACATTTCGGACCTCTCTCACAATCTTCACAACCAATTAATAAACTAAGTTCATCAATATATTACTCAGTTCTGAAATTTTATTCATATTATCATTATAATTTTATCTCGATTACCCTTATTACTCTCCACATTGCAACTAACTGATCTCTGGTTTGGTAATGTGACGGCTGCTAGTATCCAGAAACCCTACTCCCCTGAAACAAACGTTTCATTCAAATCCCGAGACATACAAACTCACAACCAACTGCCAACTGACTAGAACTAGATAGTCGAGTGGCTAGACCTCCATCCATTAAACATTACCGAAAACCTGGAGCCGTACCGAAAGAACAAGAATCGAGCGCGAAGAAATCAAATTGGTTTACACTAGCTCGTGAAAAATATATTGGATATTGTAAGCTCAAGCTACAGGTATTGGCATTGTCGGATTGATGAGCGGGGTTTTAAACCTCAAGGTTGGCCGTTTCATGTTTGTGTGTTGTCGTTCGCTTTATCTTTTGTATAATGACAATAATTCGTTGGTGTAATCAAATCAAACAAGTGAAATATATTTTTGACGAATTTCGTTTGGCGATTCGTTTGTCATGGTTACAATCAAAACTGAAGGCATACATGTATCAAGTTTGTATCATGTTATTGAACGAGATATTCAATCGTAAATTTTAGAGCAAATTTTTATCGAGACATTTGTTATATGCTGCATTACACACGTCATATGAATTTCTAGGTACCAAACATTGTTATCAATATAATCTGATTTAAGCATTTCTCATCACTGAATTGATGCAGCAAGTTGTGTGAATAATCCAAAATGAGACTGTGGTAATGTCTCATTGCGTCCGTCTTCAAAGACATTGTTGGGATGTTATTATTTGAGGGAGTAGTGTTTCTTTAATTTTTCTTAATGTCCAAACAAACGCAAATCTACATCTTTCTCATTGGTGAATAAGTCAGTAATTGCTGACTAGTTGATTTTACTCGCCTTTATAAGTGTTTCGACGACTGACTTATTAAAATACTTGATTTTAGCCTTTGATTCGTTAGGATAAAATATAAATTGATGGTATCGTATATGAAGTGTGACTGTTATTATTAGGGTTATTCGTTTATATGAATGTTGGGTTAAATTAGTCCACATACAGAAGTAAAAATAAGCTACTATTAGTTTATCCGAAACTTCTATTTTGGTTCTTAGTTGATCATTCGCTAGTTGGGATGTCATTCATATTGTTTATATAAATATTAGCTTCAATTCTCTATTTAGTGTTGGTCATCCGTTCAATCTTTTTATATGTGTTTCATCCAGATTTCGGGATTGACCTCGTTAACATAATGTCAAAATTTTCAACTCAGTTACTTGATCATGTAAATTAGACCATTACAAGAAATATCAATCATATTTACAGCTTATTATTCTTATCAACTTCATAATAACGTACCCCATTACTTAGTCTAATGAGTATTACTTATAAACGGAATAGTAATTTTTATTTCGTAGCTTTTAATTCGTTTATTATTTGAATGCTCTGTGGAAAATATGATCATAAGCTCAGTTTGTCTTAGCTAGTTTTTAATAAGACTTTTAGCTATCTATGTTTTTATAGGTAATTTTTGGTACTTTTAACTTTTAGACAAACAACGATTTCCAACAGTTATAAGTATCAAATGAACTTCCTCCACAGTGACAACGCCGAGTCATTTTTTATGTTTTGAAATCAATGGTAAGTATTTATCATTTAACTTTATTAATCCCTCTTAATAATTAGAATACTCCTAAGCGATCAAATTTTCGTGGACGATTTTTTAGAGGTAAAAGGTTTCCATCAAAAAATAAAGTTCAAAATGATACAAATTATAAACGAAAACCTGATCAACCTAAATCACCTCGTACATGTATTACTAGTTCGTCAGAAAATGGATTTTCTCAATTAACCGATTCATTGGGGATTGATTCTATTCACAGTGGATTTCTTAATCAAAAAGCATTGCCATTGGCTTCATTTAACAAAAATTGTCCTTATCCTGGTTGGTTATTATACTTTCCTACTCGATTGTATGAAAATTCATCAAAAGTTTCGGCTTACTCGAAAGTAAGTTTATATTCATTTTATTTTACCAGTAATACATCTACTCGTTATATCAGTTAGTCACGATCCTCTCATAGCTTAGCACGAATTTCACTACCAAAATCAATACAGAAAGGGGAGAATAACAAAATGGATCTTTTATGAAGTAAGTAAGCTTCAGCAAAACAAAAATGGGATGAATGACAGACAGATATCGTCAACATAAGCCTGTCACGGAGTTGCGTTGGCTTTATTCGACATACTACATTAGCGCGACCAAATGAAAGTAATAAAGAAATCACAAATACTCAACATGAATGCTAAAAAGAGGGACGTAACACTAGAAATATGATTTAAAAGGATATTGCAAAAGTGTTTTCGAAAGAATACTCAAATTCATGATCGAGATGAAGATAAAGAATAAGTTTGATTGTGTCCAAATTGGTCTCGTATGCTTTTATGGATATGAGAGTAGATGTTACTTCCTGGTTGTCCACACCGTGGAAGGTTTCTGGTTGTTGGGTTGTTTTCAAAGTTCTACGCTGCTGTTTGGTTAATTGATTGAAAGAATAAATTTATCTGAACCATTTCTAGTCATGTCACGTAGTAGTTAAGCACTAATCGAGGTTATAAAGTGGACCTCAACCAGCTAGTTGGAATCTACTAACATGGGTCAGACCAACAGTTTATAACTTCACAGATTGATGCCAATTTTTGATTTGGTGGCTCCTAGGGTTCTTCCAATCTACATTAACCCTGGGAGGCATCACCTGTCGAGGTAGTGGTTGGTTAGACATTCGTAAAACATATCATAACCATCTCAGTCGATGAAGGTTTACAATCTTTACAGTATTTATACTTTCACCAAGTATCCCGTGCCTGTCAGATACTGGGATATTAACAAATACCAGAAAATCTCTACTAGTCTGATCACAAACGCTATTTTCTTTATCCTGTTCAACTACCAAAGAAGGATACAATTAATATCTTGAAGAAATCAAATGTTCCAAATATACTATCGGGATTATTAATATCTAGTTATTAGTGAGCTGCTTGTGATTTGATGTCCTGTTATCCATTTTGTTAATTTTCCCTCTCTGTGTTACTATATTGTAGAAATTTTTGAGCTGTTAAAAATTCGCGCTAATCTTTAAGTTGTTCACAATTAGGTGACTTTCATTTATTTCTGTAAATTACCAGTTTGTCATCCTTTTACAGCGCATGTTCGTGTAGTGTATGTTCTTACTTCTTTTTTTTTACACATATTTCAGACAATACTTGAATTTCTTACTGATTTAATTGAAAAATCTGGTTATAATCTTTTATCAACTCTTGATACTATTGATAATTTAACCGATTTCATTGGTAATACATTAGATTGGATAAAAATTGAAACACAAGGTGCTGTACTCATTGATTACGCATCAATAATTCATTCAAAATTATTACAAGATAAATTAGATATTAAAAAATATTTTAATGATAATATAACTGGTGGTATAGAATATGCAGAATATTATGAAATAATATTAAAAGCATTTGGTTTAGCATTGCATACATTATGCTATCGATTAGCTTATCAACATGATCCTATTGTACCGGATATATTTAATCAAGGTATGTAGTTTAAGATTAGTTTAAATGAATACATGAAAGTTTGTAATCAATTTTCCCTAATTGTGTACAGATTTATTTTTCTAAAATGTCACTTAATAAAGTTCAATAAAGATTTTGTGATTTAATTTGTTGGGAGAAAGTTTATGCGATGCTTTTACACTTCCAAGTCCTTTGGAACGAATAGGTTTATTTACTTAATTTAAAACTGCATTAACATGGATCAAAAATGTTTGCAATAGCTCAGATGCATCCATTCTTTGTGTTGTCTCAAATCCTAGCCCCCTAGATTCTTCATCACCTTGATCTTTCTCTTTTTAAGTTTATCTCACTAAATTATACTTCTTGAATAAGATCGTCGAACCCTAATCTTCTCCATTATCTATAATACTTCCACTACCTTCAGTACTATAGGATTTGAATTAAAAATTGAATCTCTGTGAGTTAATGTGATGTGGCAACTTGAACTGATGTGCGTATGTGAGACGTTCTACGTTATAACTTACTGACTGAATGACTATTCATATTGTGTAACTCAGCAGTGCTCATCTGCGACCCTCACACACAGGAATCGAAATCAGGCCGTTCGATCTATCGTAAGGACGGGTGACCTCTTTTGACCGATGAGTCAGCATCCAACAGTTTCAAAGGTTTTATTTTCTAGTTCCAAACTGTAGAATTGGGAGAGTTCTCTCTCTTCAAATGCTCTCATATGGTCACTGCGTATATAGCTGGTACCACAAACGTTTTACTGATTTCTCGTGACCGGTGGAAAGCGAATGTTTGGCGTTGAAACCGGGTTACGGAGTATAGCGGATAGACCTAGGGGTGCTGGAAAACCCTGATTCTAAACCATTGGTGCACGTAAGTCCAAGTATCTGCAAGAAACAAATAGCTTGTAAACATATTGTTGATAACTATTTACCTTCGAGTATAGATCTCTTTACGTTGCTCCATCGCCTTTTAGATTGAATGTATAGGTCAAAGAACCATGAAAAAACCGCCTGCTGAGGTTTGAGCACTCGAACAGTATCCTAGCCCACACAAAAATTCAGTAAAGTTTCTAGTGCATATATATGTATATACATTTAATACGTTAGGAATATATGATTTATTTTTTCTATACCAAATGAAATCTATCTTGTGTACAAACCCTAACCACTTTTCCTCCTAACTATTCCAGTTGATAATGAAACAAACAGAGTAAATTCACGTTTACCTGGTTATATTGCTGCACGTATTGTCAATCATTCCCCGATTACACCATTGAGAAAATTACGTGCTCATCATTTAGGACAATTTCTATCTGTGAAAGGTATTGTTGTACGACTTGGTCCTGTAAGTAATTTTTTCTATTAAGGTTATTTATTTATTTGTTGTTACTCCCAGTGGAGTATAGGCCGCCGACTAGTATTCTCCAAACCACTCTGTCCTAGTGGGCCTTCCTTTCCAGTTCTGTACAAATTTTTGTTCATTCTTCTCATATCTGCCTGTGTTTTTTGGCCTTCTTCTTTTCCTTTGACCTTGGGAGTTCCAAGTGAGAACTTGTCTTGTGACTCAGTTGGGTGCCGTCCTCAATGTGTGTCCAATCCACTTCCACCGCCTCTTTCTAATTTCTTCCTCTAATGGGATCTGGTTTGTTCTGCACCACAGTAGGTTGTCACTGATAGTGTCTAACCAACTGATCCGAAGTATTTAACGTAAACATTTGTTAATGAATACTTGTATCTTCTGGATGATAGCCTTTGTAGTTCTCCAAGTTTCCACTCCTATATAGTAGAACTTTCGTGACATTTGTATTGAAAATTCTGACTTTGGTGTTTGTTAACCGTTATTGTTTAGAGTTCCAGATGTTTTGCAACTATAGAAATGCTGTCCTTGCTTTGTCGATCCGCGCCTTCACATCTGCATCAAATCCACCTTGCTTGTCAATGATGCTGACCTGATATGTAAAGGTTTTAACGTCCTCCAAGGCGCATCTCCATCAAGAGTGATTTGGTTGGTGAGTGTTGTGTTGCATCGGAGAATTTTGCTTTTCCCTTTATGTATGTTGAGACCTACTGCTGTAGAGGCTGCTGCTACACTGGTCGTTTTCTCTTACATTTGTTGTTGCGTGTACAATAGAAGAGAAGTATTCAAACTTTATCTTGCCCAAACTACCCAACCTATCGCTTTCAGATCTCAAACCCCGCGCATCATTACAGTATACTTGCTGTGAATGATTTACTCTAACATAAATTCTCAACGTTTCAATTAAAAACTCAACAACATTGTTAATAGTAAGACAATCATCACTAATATTAATGAATAGTCACAGTACGCAGCTATTGAGAACGGAAATTAATGGTCACTTATTTAGAATGGGTGAAATGTGATCAGCAGTGGAGTCCATGTCGCATATTTTGTCCTATTTAGGACTTATCAGACAGATTTATCTCCACTTCATTGTTAATGAACACAACATAACTTAAACATAGTACACATGTGGCGTTTAGTATCACTATATACTTGCCATGGTGTTTCATTCTCTCTGAGCTGGATGTTTTGATTGTGAAGCTTTCATTGTTCTTCTGCTGAACAACAACATCATCAGCATAAACTTCAGACTTCTGATGATGTTGTTCAGCAGAAGAACAATGAAAGCTTCACAAGCAAAAACTCCAGCTCAGAGAACAAAACACCACCACAATCATCCACCTGAGCTACAAGTTTTCTCCACCATCTCAATACCACCACAATCATCCACCGGAGCTACAAATTTTCTCCACCATCTCACTATATTCCTTTCTGATTCATTCTAGATTTCGGATAGACTTTATTGACTCAAAAAGCATTTGACGATTAGGTCATTTGGATCACATTATTTATTCTATTCTTTTCATAGGGAATTGTAACTTCCAGTACATTCACTTCTTATATTCATATGTCCCTGTGACTCTATTTGTGTATGTTTGTTGCTCATTATATTATCCAATTCCTGTCTGTTTGTCACACTAGGAATAATTTGATTTCAGCTATCTACTAACGCTTGTAATGAGTAGTATAGTGCAGTCTACACTACTGCTTTCTCCCTTTCGCTTCGTTCTCCTGTTTCGCATTTTTTTTTTTGATATCTCTGTCAACGCAAACAAACAGAAACCGCATTTGGTTTCTTATGAACGCTGTCAGTCAGTCAGTTGCAACGTAGAACTTCGTACGTATGCACATAAGTTCATGTTGCCATACCACATCACCACAGAGACTCAAATGTCAAGTCAAATCCCATAGTCATAAAGATAGTAGAGGTATTAATCGTAATGATGAAGACTAGATTTCGAAGATATTATTCAAGAAGTATAATTCAGTGAGATAAGGTTAGAAAGACAAAGGTAGAGGTGCTGACGAATCCAGAAGATTAGAATTTGAGAGAGCGCAACGAATGGATGCACTTGCGCCATTCCAAACGATTTTGAGCCATGTCGTTCAAGGTCTCTAACCATTGGTGATTATCGTCTCGCGGACCCCAACCAGGTAGCCTACATCTACCAACATGACTCAGTCCATCAGTCAGTGACTTCATGGATTTGTGTCATATTTTGGTTTGGTCGCCCCTAACTTTCTTTCAATCAACTCCTACACCACAAAACATAGCTCGACGAGGCAGTCGATGGTTAGCCATACGTAACACATGTCCCAACCACTTAAGTGGAATTAGCCAAAGTGTAATATATGAAATTAAATGGACGATTTATTTACAGAACATGTTTAAACGTTCGTTTAAAAATTGTAGTCAAATCTCAGACCATTAAATGCTTCGTTTTAAACATCAACAAGTTATCTATGAAGCTACTTACTAGGTGACAATAAAACATGTGACTGTAGGACACCGACAAATTTGACTAACGATCAAAGAATCGGATGAAACATAACTGACTGACTGTCTCAACAAGTAATGTTGTGTAATTTAGGAGTAAGTTGGAAGTAAGCTAGGGGCGGCTTAAGTAAAACATGGCACAAATCTATGAAGTCGCTGACAACTGGACTAAGCCATGTTAGTAGATGGTAAACTACCTGGTTTAGGTTGGCGAGACAATCACAACCGATAGTTAGTGACTTTAAATGATTTGGCTTAAAATCGTTTGCAATGGCGCATATGCATACATTCTTTATTCTGTCACAAATTCTAATTTTCTGAACTCCTCTTTTTAAATTAACCTCATGGGGTTATACTTCTCGAATTACTTCTTCGATCCCTAATCTGTCCGATTACTGCTATTATTTTTACTACCTTTACTACAATGGGATTTAAAATGATAATTCCATCTCTTTGTGCAACTGATGAACGCACGTACCAAGTTATATGTTGTAGCTGACTGACTGACTCGCTGCTATTCAATAATCAGTCATATTTTGGGGCAGAGTTTTTGAGGTTTGTGTTTTTACACATTTGAAATCATCAATCAATCACTGTTAGACCACCATTTGAAACCTGGAAACACTGGACGGCCGTTTCGTACAGGTATGGGACTCATCATCAGCAGTGCACTTCCACGACTCCCGCACCTCGCAGAATTCGAACCTAGGACCTTCAGTATTGTGCGCGAACGCTTAACCATCGAACCACTGGGCTGGTATCCAACGGTGTTAATGTCTAACTCTGATTGATTGCGCATAATACCGAAGGTCTCTGGTTGGGATTGTGCGAGGTGAAGGAGTCGTGGTTGCGCACTACCACTGATGAGTCCCATACCAGGACGAAACGGCCGTCCAATGCTTACAGGTTTCTAATGGTTGTCTAACAATGATTGATTGATGATTTCAAATGTATAAAAATCAGTAATCTATTTCAACTTGATCCTATTTAACCCGTACACTAATTTAAAATCATGTTTTTTTTTCTTTTTCATTGTTCATCTTTCTATAAAATAAAAGTTAACTTTATATTTTGGTTTTCATGTTTTATGATTCATTTATTTAAGATTGTACCAGTATGTCATCGGTTAGTATTTGAATGTTGTCGTTGTGAAATGAAACAAATATTAATTCTCCCGGAAAATGGTCATTATGCTTTACCAAATAAATGTTCAACAAAAGATTGTCGATCGAAAAGTTTCGAACCATTATTAAATCATCCAGAAACCTTAACGATTGATACACAAGTTAGTTAGTTTGGTTAGTTTTCGTGTATGTGAATTCATTTGAGGCGATTTTTTTTATAAACATGTTTAAACTTTATCGATTATGTAGGAAACTCCTCAAAGAAATCACTGACTGCCTTGATGAGCTATGTTTTGTGGTGTAGAAGTAGGTTTGAAGAAAGCTAGGGGGCGGCCAAATCAAAAACATGGCACAAATCCCTGAAGTCATTGACAACTGGACTAAACTATGTTGGTAGATGTGAACCCTCCTCCTTTATCAGGTCTTGAGACTAGCAGTAATCCTAGAAGGGTTTCAGGCAGAATTTTAGACATAAGTAGCTTGATATACAAAGAAATGTTCAATATAAAGCATAGATATGTCAGGTGATATTGTTTGAAGTGTTCTCTAATTTTTAAAAATTGTCCAGGTAGCACATTTTTTCACATATACTATAGTAATATGAAAGGTGTACCAAAGAAGTACATTAACCTCGTACAAGCTCTCTACTCGAACACCACTGGTCGAGTGAGAGCTGATGGCTAACTGTCAACGGAATTCTTTACATCAAGTGGTGTCCGGCAGGGATGTCCACTCTCTCCACTCTTGTTTAATTTTATCATGGACACGGTGCTAGATGTAACCTTATCCTCGTCTGAATTTGCAGGAGTAGGCCTTCCACCAGGTGGCTCGCTGATTGACTTAGAATATGCCGATGAAATAGCCCTACTTGGTGAAGACGCTGACAAAATGCAGAATCTTCTGACCACCCTAAGCAACAATGCAAGCCTGTTCGGGATGCGGTTCTCACCCTCGAAATGCAAAATGTTGCTTCAAGATTGGGTTGCATCGGTACCTGAACTAGTGATAGGGAGTGAAGTAGTCGAACGTGTAGACCGCTTCACTTATCTTGGAAGTCTCTTCAGTGCCGATGGCGTGGTTACTGACGAAATCTCAGCATGGATAAGGAAAGCTCGATTGGCTTTTGTCAATCCGCGTCACTTATGGCGTAGGCGAGATATCCGTTTGCTGACTAAAGGACGAGTGTACTGTGCAGTAGTTCGCTCCGTCTATCTTTATGGCTGTGAAACATGGCCAGTGAGAGTAGAAGATATTCGTCGGTCATTGGTTTTCGATCATAGGTGTCTTTGAAGCCCTGCTCGTATATCGTGGGACACCCGAGTGAGCAGCGCTGTTATTAGGAATCGGGTTCTAGGTAAGAATGGCAGATCAATAGATGAAGTATTGAAACGTCATCAGTTGAGGTGGTTTGGAAATGTGCTGCGTATGCCTAACCACCAACTGCCTCGACGAGCTTTGTTTTGTAGTGTAGGATTAGGTTGGGCCAAACCAAGACATTACAGAAATCTATGAAGTCATTGACAAGTGGACTGAGAGTCATCTTAGTCGGTGTAGACCGCGAGTTGATAATAATCGATGGTTAGAGACCTTGAGTTATATGGCTCAAAATCGTTTACAATGGTGTATGTGCATCCATTCTTTGTTCACGTTCAGATTCTAATCTACTCAGTAACTCACCACCTTTATCTTTCTTCTTTTTAAATTCATTTCACTGGATAATACTTTTTGAATCATATCTTTGCTCCCTAATCTTCTCCATTACTGCTAATACTCCTACTATCCCTACTACTATGGGATTTGAAGTTGCAGTTGAGTATGTACTGTTGTACTTACGTACGAAGTTCTATGTTGTTGTTGACTGACTGACTCATCTTTGGCTAAATATACCTATATCTCAATGTTGATGTTCACATCCAGCTGACAAGTCCCAAATACCATGAAACATACATCCTTGATTCCACTTCTAACCACTGTTCACCTCTACTATTAACATTTTTTTAACTTAAAGGTAATATATCTTGACAATCTGCACAAGATGAACGTATCTTTTTATTTTTTTATTTCCATTAAAGATTATTACAATTCAAGAAGCATTAGATAATCATGAAGTTGATGGAAATCATCGTGATGGATCAACTAGTTCAAATGTTGCTACATCGATTGGTCGAAGTGCACGTTGTTTAGCATGTCGATTAGAACGTGACTTGATTGATTCATGTATACCAGGTGATATATTACATTTAACTGGTTTAATCAGCCTTATTAGTTCTGATGGTTTAGGCGCAGCATCCTCATCAGGTTCGGCTTATTCATCATCTTGGTCAAGTCGTCGTGGTGCAACTATGTATAGTTTCATTATGAATGTCAATAGTTTAATATGTTTAAGTGATGCTGGAGGTAATGGACGTCGTACTAGAAAATCAATTGGTGTAGATAATCAACGTTTATTAATTTTATCATCAAATGATTCGGAACAATCTGATAGTCAATTAAAAACTAATCATGATATGGGTAAAGTGATATCTAGTATAGGTGAGTTGTGTTTGAGTACCCATTATTAGTAATTTTATTTTAGGTAATTATTTTTGACTACTGAAATAAAATATAGTAGTTAGAAAATTGTTTCATATTGAATAAATCTCTTACTTGTTTTGATACCAAACATTATTGTCCTGAAATAATGTTACAGTGGAGAATATATCTCTAACTCTAAGCTCCAGCTCAGAGTACGAAACTCCACCATAATCAGTGACGTTTTACCCCTAATGGAGCATTGGCCGCCGCATATCAGTATTCTCTAGCCAACTCTTTCCTCTACTCTCCTTTCCAGTTCTACCTTATAACTATTCATGTCCGTCTCCGATTTTCGATACGGTGTGTTTCTTGGTCTGCCTCTTTTTCAAGTTAGGACTTACCTTACGACGCAGTTGGGTAATTTCCGCAATATGCATCTTATCCATTCAGTGAGTTCATATGACAAACTAATAAGAAGAAAGGAAGTCATAAATTTTTAAATGGTCATTAGACTAAGTGCCTCTTTTTCCACTTTCAATAACATATCACGTTTAAATTCCACTAACCACACATCAAAATTTTACAGAACGATGAGGCTTAAAGCAGCTTCTCAAGATCTGAAGGGTAAGTCGTACTGCTAACTGTAGAAAGGTGTGACAGAAGTAAGGTGTTTCCCTAGGACAACCAGGATCAGCAGTGAAGCTACGTTCCAATAAGGAATAAAATGGGTTAGAAAAGATCAACCCTAAAAATGTCCCACCTCACCTTACCTCACGGATTTCCGTCTCTGGCGGTTAAGCCTTTTGAAGAGCGAAGCCAACACTTCCCATAGAAAGGCCGTGCCTGACCAGCCTCAAACAGTTGTCCGTTGGGCTCTGCGGTCACGCTCCCAGATCTCTAAGACCAACACTAATCTAACTTTTTTTTTCAGGTCTTTCAAGAAGTACCCTTCCATGGTGTGGACAACCTGAAAGTGACATGTGTCCTCATATCTGTAACAACTCATGAGACCAACGTTACTGAATTATCCAAGTCACTTTATCTTGAGCTCTGTTTGAGCACAGCAAAAGTTATCTATACATTTGAATTTTCTCAACTTAATCTTTCCAGAGACACCAATAATAACAACAGCTGTACACTGCTAATAACTACCATTTTTAATTTTTTCTTTATAGGATTGTTAAGTTACTTTAAAATCATGAATCGATCAATGTTAGACAACCATTAGAAACCTGAAACCTATAGGCAGCTGTTTCGTCCTAGTATGGGACTCATTAGTAGCGATGAGCATCCATGACTGTCGCTTTTGAGAATTGAATCTAGGACCTCTGTTATTGTGCGCGTACACTTAACCTCTAGACTAGTGCTTTCAGGTTTTTAATGGTGGTTTAACATTGATCGATTCATGATTTCAAAGTAACTCAACGTCGTCATTGTAGTCGTTGGTAGGTGCATAACATTGGATGACGTTCATTGTAATGTCCGTTTTCTTTGTTTTGAAAGATGCTTTAATGATCCTCGGTCCATGAGATTCCCATCCTATCAGTGCCTTTTGTGCATGTTTGGACAGCATCAGTGCAACTCCTTGTGTATGTGAAGCATTTTCCTCTTCATGACCAAAGTATAACATCAGTTCCCCTGAAGCTAGTCTCAGTTGTCCTGCCTGTATCCAATGCGTTTCACTGATGCCGAGCGCCTCGAGGTTATATCTTTTCATTTCTACCGCAACTTGAAATAGTCTTCCAGTCTTCCACAATGTACGAACGTTCCATGTACCTAAAAAAAATGGTTGCTCTGGTTGTCAGAAAAGGCATCGACCCCGTGACTTCCGATGGAACTCGGCTTTCATCACGCGACGTCATAATTCTTCTTCCAACTCCTAGGGCAGAGTTAAAATGGTTTGGATTATTTTTTCTGGTTAGCGTTTTTTTTGGCAAGTTAGTTTTTGACGGAATGGGATCGCCAACCCCATGTCCAACCCTCCTCCTTTATCCGCCGGGCTTGGGACCGGCAGTAACCCCGAAGGTTCCACTAGCGGAGTTAACTCAACGACCACAATGCATATTATCATATACTCACTAGAGACTAGCTCCGTAAAGAATTTTTCGTGAGTTGTAATGAGAATTCATGACCAGTGAAGTTTAACCCGTATTCGGTTATGAAGACATTGGATGAGGTTGCGCAAACTCATAGATTGATCGAAGGTAGACAATAACATCGTTGGATCCCGGCGAAACGACCATATAACTCTGCCATGTTTCTAATGATGACTTAACACATTGCTCAAAACTACTATTATTTATTAGTATGAATAAATGTTAATTCAATTTGTTTCCCCTTCATTATTATTATTATTATTATTCCATTTTAGATAGTGAATTTTCTATTAAAGATTTATATGCAATACGTGAAATAAATGAACAGTCAAATTTATTTCGTTTATTAGTTAATTCATTATGTCCAAGTATATGTGGTCGTAGTTTAATTAAAGCTGGTCTATTATTAGCTTTATTTGGTGGTGGTGGTGGTACACAATCGATTACAAATAGACGACGAACAATAAAACGTCGTCTCCAGTCGAAACAACAACAACAACACCAAGCGCCACCACCTGATCACAATGATCACCGTCGTCAACACCAAATAACAAAAAAGAAGAAAAAGCGTGCCTCAAATAAAACAATGAATCATGTCAATGATTCTACATCATATCGATTAGGAGTTAGTCGATTAGATGACGCTGATGATGATGATGAAGAGGAGGATGAAGCGGACGTGGCTGACAGTTCTATGGAGGAGCAAGGGGAGGAGGAGGATAGTCAATCGGATGATCATTCATCATTGATTGATGAGAATAAGGAAAATGATAATCATGATGATATTCATTTATCAGATTATACTGAGTTAAATTGTGAATCAAATGTTATTCGTCGTTCCGCTTCTCATGTACTTATTGTTGGTAAGTAATGATGGTATTTTTTCTTGATTTCTTTCTACTTTATTCATGTTGTTTTGTGGTGTAGGAGGAGTAGAAGTAGGTTGAAAGAAAGCTAGGGGGTGGTCAAATCAAAATATGGCACAAGTCTATGAAGTCACTGACAAGTGGACTGAGTCATGTTGTTAGATGTTGGTTGGAGTCCGTGAGACGAAAGTCATTGATGGTTAGAGAGACCTTGGACGATATGACTCATAATCGTTTGCAATGGCTCAAGTGCATCCATTCTTTGTATTCTCTGAAATTCTAATCTTATGAATTTCTCATCACCTCTCTCTTTCTCTTTCTAAGTTTATCTCACTGAATTATATTTCATGAATAATATCTTCAAACCCTAGTCTTCTTCATTACCATTAATACCTCTACTATGTTTATCACTATGGGATTGGATTTGACATTTGCGTCTTTAGGCTAGTGTGGTATGGCAACATGAACTTATGTACATACGTACGAAGTTCTACGTTGCAACTGGCTGACTGACTGACTGGTTGTTTCGTTGATTGTTTTATAAAAGATATTTTGTTTGAACACATGCATATCAACATAAAGTATCATCAGTTGAGGTGGTTGTTAGGTCATGTGTTACGTATGCCTAACTACCGACTGCCGCGAAGAGCTATGTTTTGTGGTGTAGTAGTAGGTCGGAAGAAAGTTAGGGGCGGCCAGACCAAAACATGGCACAAATCCATGAAGTCATTGACAAGTGGACTGTGTCATGTTGATAGATGTTGGTCGGAGTCCGCGAACTGAAAGTCACCGATGGCCAGAGACCGTTCAGAATCGTTTGCAATGGCACAGATGCATCCACTCTTTGTGTTCTCTCAAATTTAAACCTCCTGAATCCCTCATCACCTCTGTCTTTCTCTTTCTAAATTTACTTCACTAGATTCTATTTCTTGAATCTAATTTTCGAACCTTAATCTTCTCCATTACCGCTATTACTTCTAATACCTTTAAAACTGTGGGATTTGAATAGACAATTTGATCTCTCTGTGCTAATGTGGTATGGCAAGTTGAACTGATGTACGTATGTGTGAAGTTCTATATTATAACTGACTAACTGACTTGGAGCTGCAATGGCTCAAATGCATCCATTCGTTGTGTTCTCTTCAATTCTAATCTTCTGATTTCCTTATGACCTCTATCTTTCTCTTTATAAGTTTATTTCACTGAATTATACTTCTTGAATCAATTCTTTGAACCCTAATCTCTCCGATTATCTCTAATACTTCTAATTACATCTACCACTATGGGATTTGAATCTATCAGTGATAATGTGATATGGTAACTTGAACTGATGTACGTACGTGTGTACGTACGAAGTTCTACGTTGTAGCTGATTAACTGGCTGTCTGGTACTGAGTTTGGTGGTTTAAACTACTTTTATTCTACACGTTGCTTTGTAAATACGGTAAATAAAGATTTTTTTGTCCGAAGGTTCATGGGTAATAATTGTTGTCCCATAAAAATCAATGATATGGTAACTCTTCAAAAATCGTAAGATAAATTTTAGTCTGTTCCTACAAACTATAGATTTACTTGTGTTACAGAGTTACTCAGTAAAATCGGAAAACCATATCGTAAATCGTTAATTTGCAAAATATCAGTTCATCATATCGAACTGGACTGTTTTTCCTGTTGCAAAACATCAATCCATTGTCACTATTCATGCGTTTCATACCAATTCCATTGTGTTCTAACTCTTCTTCCTTTCTTGATCTTCCCCCATATTCTGCTGCCAGACATTAGGTTGACACTCACGTCATATACTACTTATAAGTAGCTCGCACCACACTACTATTAAACACTTCAGATTTTGGTCGTACGAAGTGAATTAGATAGATGTGCCGACCACTTTGATTGTCTTGAAAGTATTCCCCCGAACTCCCTAATCTTCTCCATCAGCGCTATTACTTCTACTACATCTACTACTATGGGATTTCAATTGAAAATTGTATCTCTTTGTGCTAATGGGGTATGGCGTCAGTCAGTCAGTCAGTCAGTTGCAACGTAGAACTTCGTACCTATGTACATAAGTTCAGGTTGGCATATCGCATTAGCACAGAGACGCAAATGTCAAATCAAATCCCATAGTGATAAACATAGTAGAGGTATTATTGGTAATGAAGAAGACTAGGGTTCGAAGATATTATTCAAGAAGTATAATTCAGTGAGATAAGGTTAGAAAGACAAAGGTAGAGGTGTTGACGAATACAGAAGATTAGGATTTGAGAGAGCACAATGAATGGATGCACCTGTGCCATTGCAAACGATTTTGAGCCATGTCATTCAAGGTCTCTAAACATCAGTGACTGTCGTCTCTCGGACCCCAACCAGGTAGCCTACATCTACCAACATGACTCAGTCCACTTGTATGGCAGCTTGAACTGATGTACGTATGTATGTACGTACGAAGTTCTACGTTGTAACCGACTGACTGATTAACTATCTTGGTTAGCTACTAGGTCATAACATATTTTCGATGGATTCGAAAGGTTGACCTGACTTTCATAAGCATACGCGATTCATCCTATAGCGAACATGTCTATCTACTAAACAAAGAGTGAATTTATTAAATGTTTTCCTTTATAGTAGCTGTAAAACATGATTTATAAGGGTAGACGATATCCAGAGGTTACAATTATTTGATAATAAACGTCTTAGAAGCATAGCTTGAAATCTGTTTGTTCACTGCACCAAATTAGTGCAAGAATATCCATACTTACTGTACCACAGAGAGTTGGGGGACGTGGTATTCCACTCTCCCTCCAAATGCTTTTACATGACAACACGTGTATAGCCACTTCCTGAGAAGTAGTCCTACTCACTGTCTTCGCATAGCGGAAGTCAGTCAGTCAGATGCAACGTAGTACTTCGTACGTAAGTACATCAGTTCATGTCGCCATACCACATCAGCAAAGAGATGTATTTGTCAATTCAAATCCAATAGTAGAAGATGTAGTAAAGGTATTAGGAGTAATCGGAGAGATTAGGATTAGAAGATATTATTCAAGAAGTATGATTCAATGAGAAAAGTTTAGAAAGTCAAAACTAGAGGGGTTGAATAATCCAGAAGATTAGGATTTGAGAGAACACAAAGAATAAATGCACCGGTGCCATTGAGAACGATTTTGAGCCATGTCATTCAAGGTCTCTAACCATCGATTATTATCATCTCGCGGACCCCAACCAAGTAGTCGACATGGCTAAGTCCACTTGTCAATGACTTCATGGATTTCTGCCATGTTTTGGTTTGGCCGCCCCTAGCTTTCTTCCAACCTATTCCTACACTACAAAACATAGCTCTTCGCGGCAGTCGGTGGTTAGGCATACGCAACACATGACCCAACAACCATCTCAACTGATGAAGTTTCACCACTTCATCTATTGATCTGCCATTCTTACCTAGCACCCGTTTTCTAATAACAGCGTTGCTCACCCGAGTGTCCCAGGTTATACGAGCAATGCTTCGAAGACACCTATGATCGAAAACCAATAAACGACGACTATCTTCTACTCTCATTGGCCATGTTTCACAGCCATAAAGCAAGACAGAACGAAAGTGTTGTTTATGGAATCGAAAAGACGAAAAGCGAGTCTCCAGTACTTTGTCGATAGGTATGGAGGAATTCACCTAGAGAAGTCGGACTTCTGGATCCTAAAGGAACGAATAGCTTATGAACCTATTGTTAGTCACTGGTTAGCATGGGATTGCATCTCGTAACGTTGTTCTATTGTTTTGTGGATTAGACTTGTAAGTCAAAAGTGTGGTGTATCAATGTCGTCAGATCGATAGAAGTCACACTATTAACCTCAATATCTCTTGTTAAAAAATAAAATTACTAAATTTGGAAGCACTGGATAACTGTTTTATTCTAGAATGAGACTTATCGGCAGTGTACATCTACAACTTCCGCACACGGAAATCGAAATCACATTCCTCGATCTCGGGGGCGAACACTGTACCTCTAGACACCAATGAGTCTGTATCCGATGGTGTTAATGTCTAACTTTGATTATTCTAAGGTTTTGCACAACCTCTTCCGTTTATCTTCGGCAGTTACTATCTACATCCGAAGTGATTGACCTCCACTGGTCACGGATTCTTACTACGACTCCAAAAACATTGTATGATATTCATTATAGAGTTCTGGAAATTGTTGTGAATTCGCATTGCTGAAGAACCCTATACTAAGACGAGACAGCCATCCAGGTTCCTAATGGTGATCTAACATTGATCGATCGATTGTTTCAATCATTCAGTGATTATTGGACAACAGTTTCATTATTTAATGGAACTACACAGAAATGCAAATTCATAAACTCTCCAGGAGTTACGTGAAGTACTTTCAAACTGACAGCAACGGAACGTCATCCTAAAATATAACGTATTCATTAAAGTTAGACATTTAAACCATTGCGTGTCCTCTTTTCGGTCTAAAGGTTAGCTAGTTGTTGTGACGTATGAAACTCGTGAGTTCAGTCTCTGATGGTGGGGAATCATAAATGTCATACTATTGTAAAGTCTCATTTTAAGATGAAATAAATGTCTAATACTCTCTTAGTTTCCAATGGTTATTGAACCAAGGTCATTTGTTTACTAATGCGCCACAGCACAGTTATAAACACTTTACAACCTAACACAAATATATTACTTACTTACTTACTTACTTTCGCCTGTTACCCCAAATGGAGCATAGGCCGCCCACCAGTTTTCTCCAACCAACTCTGTCTGTACTGGGCTTCGCTCTCCAGTTCTGTCCAATGTTTGTTCATTCCTCTCATATCTTTCTCTATTTCTCGGCGTAATGTATTCTTTGGCCTTCCTCTTTTCCTTTTGCCTTGAGGGTTCCATGTGAGGGCTTGTCTCGTGACGCAGTTAGGTGCTTTCCGCAATGTGTGTCCTATCCACTTCCACCGCTTCTTCCTGATTTCCTCCTCCACTGGAATCTGGTTTGTTCTCTCCCACAGTTCGTTGTTGCTGATCGTGTCTGGCCAACAAATACGAAGTATTTTACGTAGACAGCTGTTAATAAACACTTGTATCCTCTGGATGATGGCTTTGGTAGTTCTCCATGTTTCCGCTCCATACATTAGAACTGTCTTGACATTTGTATTGAAAATCCTTATTTTGGTGTTGATTGATATCTGTTTGGAGTTCCAGATATTTTTCAACTGTAGAAATGAAGCCCTTGCTTTGCCAATCCGTGCCCTCACATCTGCATCGGATCCACCTTGATTGTCGATGATGCTGCCCAGATATGTAAAGGTGTTAATGTCCTCCAAGGCATCTCCATTAAGAGTGATTTGATTGGTGCATGTTGTGTTGCATCAACGAATTTTGCTCTTTCCTTTATTTATGTTGAGACCTACAGCTGCAGAGGCTGCTGCTACACTGGTCGTCTTCTCTTGCATTTGTTGTTGAGTGTGCGATAGAAGAGCCAGATCATCTGCGAAGTCCAGATCGTCCAGCTTCGTGCTAACTGTCCAGTTGATACCGTGCTTCCCTCCAGATGTTGACGTTTTCATAATCCAGTCGATCACCAGGAGAAAGAGAAAGGGTGAGAGTAAGCAACCTTGCCTGACACCGGTCTTCACCTCGAAAGAGTCGGTTAGCTGTCCTCCGTGCACGATTTTGCAGTTGAATCCATCATAAGAGTTCCGTATGATGTTAACTATTTTCTCAGGCACCCCGTAGTGTCGAAGAAGAGTCCACAGTGTTTTCCTGTCCACGCTATCGAATGCTTTCTCGTAGTCGATGAAGTTGATGTAGAGTGGTGAGTTCCATTCAATTGATTGTTCCACAATGATCCGTAATGTAGCAATTTGGTCAGTACACGATCGATCCTTACGAAATCCGGCCTGTTGATCTCGAAGTTGGGCGTCTACGAAGTCCTTCATTCTGTTTAACAATACCCTGTTGAAGACTTTGCCTGGTATTGAAAGAAGAGTGATGCCTCTGTAGTTCTCACACTTGCTGAGGTCGCCTTTCTTTGGTATTTTGATCAGGTATCCTTCCTTCCAGTCTGATGGTACTTGTTCCTCATCCCAAATCTTCTTGAAGAGGATGTGAAATATTTTCGCGGTTGCTTCTACATCTGCTTTCATTGCCTCTGCTGGAATGTTGTCTGGTCCTGCTGCCTTGCCGTTCTTGATTTGTCTGATGGCCATACTGATCTCCTCAATCGTAGGTGCGCCAATATTAATTGGGAGGTCCTTGGATGCTGCTTCGATGTTGGGTGGGTTCAGTGGAGCTGGTCGATTCAATAGTTCCTTAAAGTGCTCTACCCACCTATTTCGCTGTTGTTCAGTGTTGCTGATTACTTTGCCTTCCTTGCTTTTCACTGGTCGTTCTGGTTTACGATAGTTCCCGGCGAGCTTCTTTGTAGTTTCGTACAATTGTCACATGTTTCCTTCTCTTGCAGCCTTTTCCGCCGTCGTTGCTAGATCTTCCACGTATTTTCGTTTGTCAGCTCTGATGCTCTTCTTCACTTTCCTGTTTGCTTCTGTGTATGCAGCTTGTGCGGTAATTTTCTCCGCTCTTGTTCGGCTGACATTGATTGCTGCTTTCTTGTTCCTCCTTTCTTCAATTTTTGCGAGAGTATCAACAGAGATCCATTCCTTGTGATGGTGCTTCTTGCGACCAAGGACATCCTGACATGTTGAAGTGATTGCCTCCTTAATCCCTTTCCAATTGTTCTCCAATGTTGCGTCCTCTCCATTGAGTATATTCTGAAAGGCCTGGAACCTATTGGTGAGGGCTATCCTGAATTCGTTGAGCTTTACAGTATCCCGAAGAAAGGCCGTATTAAACTTGTGTGATGTTGTCTGTCCCGTTGTCCAGTGCTTCTTTAGTTTCAGTTTCATTTTGGCGATTAGCAAATGGTGATCTGAGGCTACATCAGCTCCTCTCCTGGTTCTCACATCCTCCATAGTCCTTCTGAACGTTTTGTTGATACAGATATGATCAATCTGGTTTTGAGTAGTGTGATCCGGTGAAATCCATGTAGCTTTGTGTATGCGTTTGTGCGGGAATATTGTGCCACCGATGACCAGTTTGTTGAAGGCACATAGGTTTGCAAATCTCTCACCGTTTTCGTTCCTTTCTCCCAGTCCATGTCGTCCCATGATGTCTTCATATCCAGTGTTGTCCATTCCAACCTTGGCATTCAGGTCTCCCATAAGAATCGTCAAATCCTTTGGTGAACATTTCTCGACGATTGATTGCAGCCTTTCGTAGAATTGATCTTTAACGTCGTCATTGTAGTCATTGGTAGGTGCATAACATTGGATGACGTTCATTGTAATGTCCTCTTTCTTTGTTTTGAAGGATGCTTTAATGATCCTGGGTCCATGAGATTCCCATCCTATTAGTGCCTTTTGTGCATGTTTGGACAGCATCAATGCAACTCCTTGTGTATGTGAAGCATTTTCCTCTTCATGACCAGAGTATAACAGCAGTTCCCCTGAAGCTAGTCTCAGTTGTCCTACTTGTGTCCAATGTGTTTCACTGATTCCAAGCACCTCGAGGTTGTATCTTTTCATTTCTGCCGCAACTTGAAATAGTCTTCCAGTCTCCCACAATGTACGAACGTTCCATGTACCTAAAAAAATGGTTGCTCTGGTTGTCAGAAAAGGCATCAGCCCCGTGACTTCCGAGGGAACTCGGCTTTCATCACGCGACGTCATAATTCTTCCTCCAACTCCCAGGGCAGAGTTAAAATGGTTTGAATTATTTTTTCTGGTTAGCGTTTTTTTGGCAAGTGAGATTTCAACGGAATGGGGTCGCCAACCCCTTGTCCAACCCTCCTCCTTTACCCGGGCTTGGGACCGGCAGTAGCCCCGAAGGTTCTACTGGCGGAGTTAACACAAATATATATATATATATATATATATATATATATATATATATATCATTATGGCCGTGAAACATGACCAGTCAGAGTAGAATATGTTCGTAGGTTACTTGTTTTCGGCCATAGGTGCCTTCGAAGCATTGCTTGAGTATCGTGGGACAACTGAGTAATCAATGCTGTTGTTAGGAAACGGGTGCTAGGTAAGGATGGCAGGTCTATAGATGAAGTATTGAAACTTCATCAGTTGAGATGGTTGGGACATGTGTTGCGTATGCCTAACCACCGACTGCCTTGTCGAGCTGTTTTGGTTAGGTTAGACGAAAGCAAGGAGCGGCCAGACCAAAAGATGGCAGAAATCCATGAACTGAGTCATGTCGGTCAGTGTCGACCAACCTGGTTGCGCTCCGCGAGATGACAGTAATCGATGGTTAGATACCCTGAATGACATGGCTCGAAACCGTTTGCAATGTCACAAGTGCATTTATTCTTTGTGTTCTATGAAATTCTAACCTTCTGAATTCTTCATCACCTCTATCTTTCTCTCTTTCTAAATTTACCTCACAGAATTATACTTCTTGAATAACATCTTCGAACCCTAATCTCTCCGATTACTTCTAATACTTTTATTACCTCTACTACTACAATCGGATTTGAATTGACAATTGCATCTCTCTGTGTGCTAATGTTGTTGTATGGCAACTTGAACTACTGTACTTACATGCAAAGTTCTACGTTGCTGTTGCTGTTGATGATGATGTTATATCTTTTCAAATTGTTACAGTTTTTTATCAATTAAATTGAGTATATCTTCATTATGTATTCAATTTTTGTTCAAAAAGGTGATCCTGGCTTAGGTAAAAGTCAACTACTACGAGCTGCAGCAAATTTAGCACCAAGAGTTTTATATGTTTGTGGTAATACAGCAACAGCTGCTGGTCTAACTGTCAGTACAATACGTGAAGGGAATAATAGCGGTGGAGGTTTTGGTCTAGAAGCTGGTGCATTAGTTTTAGCTGATCAAGTAAGTTTTCGTGTGTAACACAACAACAATGTGGTTTTTGTGTTTGTGTCGTTTTTCTGCATTGATTTTTATAATGTCGGAACGAAGTGAATCACTGAGCAATAAACTCATCGCCATAACTACTGATACGAGTTGGTGAAAACCAACCGAGCGAGACTTTTATATTTGTGCTGAGTTTTCGTTCAACATCAGGATCATCAGGACTGATGCGACTTACAAGATATGTGAAGCGGTCAACAAGCTCAACCACATCACTCCCTATCACTAGATCAGGTGCGGACGCAAGCTATTACTGAAGCAGAACTTCGCATTTCGAGGGGCGTAATTGTATCCTAAATATGAATGAATTGTTGCTTAATTGCGGTTAGAAGACTCCGCATTTCGTCAGCGTCCTTACCAGTTCTAATGCATAAAGAAATTTGTGGTTAAATTTTTTTTAAACTCGTATTCACTCACTGAGTTTTATTGTTATATTGTCAAACTATCTAGTTGGAGTGCTTGTGATTATTGTACCTAATGAATAGTTAGTGACTTTTTGACGATATGGTTCACACTCGTTTGCAATGTGGTGCAGTTACATTCATTATTTGTCTTTCATTAGATCCTAAGTACATGATTCGAAGTTAGGACTTTCGGTATCACGCGTCACTAAATCGGCATCCAACTGGTGTTCATGTCTTCAACTTCAACCAGTCTATGGTATTGCACCAATTTATCTATTGTCTTTGATGCCTGATTATCTCATACCTGATTTAGATAGTAATATTAATCAAACTCCACCTGTAGCCCTTCTTGGATCGCTCTCGGTTCTAAGCTTGATTTAAGAAGTAGAGTGTTATGCTCATCAATTGATATGTTTGAATGCTATTATGAGTTAACTTTAGTCGGTAAACGAGAGTGAAGACAAATATGATCCAGTGATAGGATAGGTTGCTCTAATCCGAGCGTCTGAAAGCCTCACTAAATAGAGTAGACTTGGAAAGTATATTCTACAAGCAACCAGAATTATGAGGTTGACAAGCACACAAATCGAGTTCAATTATACATGATAGAAACGTCCTTTGTAGAGCCACCAAAAATAACCTACTAAAATAATACATGAACCAATAACAGTTAAGGATTTTCCGAGTGAGAAATGTAATCTCAAGGTCAACTGACCAGCCCATGCTCCGAAATTAGGACCTTTATCAAGTGAGTTCTGGGGATCTAACGTCGCCAACAGCTTCGTTCTTGCATGCGAACTCCCTACCTCTGGACCCGCATCCAACGGTGTTAATGTCTAACTCCGATCAATATAGCAATTTTATTCGACCTCATTCATTTGTCTCCGGTAGTTACTGCCTACACTCGACGGGGATGAAATCAACTGGTCACATCTTCTCACTAGAACATCGAGAATTTGCTTACGAAGCTAGTCACTACTGACGAGCCGCATACCACGACGAAATGACCATTTTTCAGTGCTTGTGAGTTTCTAATGATGATTCATCAATGATTCATTCATGATTTCAATAATTGATCAATAGTTTTTCTGTTTTTCTTGATTTTTTATTTTATTTTATTTTATTTAAGGGTTGTTGTTGTATAGATGAATTTGATAAATTAACATGTGATCCAGCTGTTCTGTTAGAAGCTATGGAACAACAATCTGTTAGTGTTGCACGTGGTGGTCTAGTCGCGAATTTACCAGCACGTGCAGCTGTTCTAGCTGCTGCTAATCCTGTCAATGGTCATTATGATATAACACGACGATTGGATGAAAATCTACGTATACCACCGGCATTATTATCAAGGTAGAGAAAAATTTGAAAATAGTTGGTGTGCTAAAGTGTTTCTTTTGTGTGTGTGTGTGTGCATATATACATCAACTGTGTTGACAGCTTGCGAGGACTCTTTAGAAACATTTTGCAGAAACTGTGAAAAGCCATAAAATTACCTCGTGTAATTGATGTTCAATAGAAACTTTCTTAAGAGTTCTAGATTGTAAGTTTATCGTTATGGGACAAGTATAGAGTGTGACGTGCTTTTAGGATACTGAGGTTCCGTGTCAATGAATTCTTTAGTTCATTGTAGTTGGTTGTTGTATACGGAGATTTTGTTTTTATGAAGTAGAATTGTTAATCTTACACTCAACTTTCTTCCTTATCAACGTTCGCAACTGGTAGTCAGTTAGTGGTCAAGGCATTTGATCCGTGTTCTACCCACTTCGGTTCTTACAACCCGGTAATATCATTAGTTCCTATTCACTTGAATTAATCTAAAAATTTAAGTAACATCACATAAGGCATGCCAAAGTTATGTAAACTTATTAATATCTTTGTTTTCTGTACTAAACTAACTTGAAAATGTAAAACTTCTCATACCTACCATCTTTCGTCATCTGTTTGGAGTCTATATGTGTAAGAAATTTTCAAGGAACTGAAAAGTGGTGATTGGGATATATGTTACGTATGGCTGACCATCAACTGCCTCGGGGAGAGATGTTTTGTGGTGTAGAGGAGTAGGTTGTAAGGAAGCTAGGCGTGGCCAAAACAAACCACGGCACAAATCCATGAAGTCAATGACAACTGGACTGAGTTATGTTGATAGATGTAGACTACCTGGTTGGGGTACGCAAGACGACAGTAACCGATGTTTAGAGACCTTAAACGATTTGAAATGGTATAGGTTCATCCACTGTTTGTGTTCGCTGAAATTCTAATCTTCAGAATTCCTTATGACCTCTATCTTTGTCTTACTAAATTTATTTCACTGAATATTTTCGAACCCTAATCTTCTCCATTACCAATTATACTTCTACTGTCTCTACCAATATGGGATTTAAAGTGACGATTGAATCTCTGTGCTAATGTGGTATAACAACCTGAACTGATGTACTTACGTACGAAGTTCTTCGTTGTAACTGACTGACTAACCTGAAGTTTGTGCTCATGATGTTGCTGTTCAGTAGAAGAACAATGAAAGCCCCACAGCCAAAACATCAAAGACTTTGTAGAACAAAACTGCATCATGATAATTAAATTATCTGACTCATACTGTGGTGCGAGCTACTTATAAATAGTATATGACGTGAGTGTCAACGTAATGTCTGGCAACATAAGATGAGGGAAGATCAAGAAAGGAAGAGTTAGAAGAACACAATGGAATTTGTCTGTGAAACACATGAATAGTGACAATGGATTGATGTTTTGCAACAGCAACAGTCCAGTTCGATATGATGAACTGATATTTTGTAAATTAACAATTTACGATATGGTTTTCCAATTTTACTGAGTAACTCTGTAATTTTCGTCAAATACAATTCGGTTGCCCCACCTGTGTTCTCGTTCACTACAATACCATCCAGCGTTAATCAGTCGTAGGTAATAATTATCAATTAGTTGTGAGCTAAGCGTAACTTACTTACACCTGTCAACTCCAATAAAGCATAGGCCACCTACCAGTATTCTTCAGCCTACTCTGTCCTTGTGGGCCTTCCTTTCCACTTCTGTCCAATTCTTGTTCATTCTTCTTATGTCTGTCTCTGTTTCTCGGTGTAATGTGTTTCTTGGCCTTCCTCTTTTCCTTTGGCCTTGAGAGTTCCAAGTGAGGACTTATCTTTTGACACAGTTGGACTCACTCATCATTCCACTTTTCTTCCCGATTTCTTCCGTCTTTGGAATCTGGTTTATTCTCTCCCATAGTAGGTTGTTACTGATAGTGTCTGACCAACGGATCCGAGGTATTTTGCTTCCGTTGGCTGTTGTTGCGGGTATGAGGGCGGTTATCACTTCCCGGCTGCCCACACCGTGGAAGGGTGTTTCTTGAGGGACCTGAAAAGGAAGATAGATTAGTGTTGGTCTTGGAGACCTGGGTGCGTGACCGCAGAGTCCAAGGGACAACTGCTTGAGGCCGGTCATGCACGGCCTTTTTATGAAAGGTTTTTTGAGTATTAGCTCCGTTCTTAAAGGCCGTTAGTGGGCACCCTTACCAACGGAGACGGAAATCCGTGAGGTAGGGTGAGGTGTGACATTTTTTGGGTCGAACTTTTCTAACCCTTCCTTCCTTGTGAGAAGGCAGCATCACTGCAGATGCTGGTCGTCCGAGGGAAACACCTTACTGCTGTCACACCTCTCTGCAGTCAGCAGTACGACGTCGGCCTGAGACCTTGAGTAGGTGCTTTTAGTCTGATCGTTCTCCAATCGACCTTCCTGGCATGGTAGATCCTTCAGTAACATAAGTTCCAGACAATATAGCACGGTTGGGTCATGACGATAGTCAAACCCGACCACCACGTCAAGATAGCAGTTTCGGTCGGGTTCTGTTGACTAAGCCTCAACATAACTCAAATAGACAGTAATTTTTTCCTCAAACCTCTCACTTTTTTTCTCTTCAACGTGACTAACCTTACTCTTCCCATCTGTTTATATTTTCTCTTCTTAACTAAAAGATTTGATTTAATATTCGTACTATTGGATCATCCCGATGAAATAGCTGATCGTCTTCTGTCAGAACATGTTACAGCTATTCATACAGGCAAATGGAAACCAACAAGTTTTATGTGTTCCCAAACAATCAATCAAAAACCACCTCCACCATCACATAATGATGATGACGATGACCACCAGCCAATGAATATCAATCATACTACTACTCCAACTGCTACTACTGATGAAGATGTTGGCAGTGTTGTGATTGCACAAGAATTCAATGCGAATATACCATTAAATCAACGGCTAGAATTAAATGTTGGCGAAAAAATCGATTATATCCCTCCAGTATTATTACGTAAATATATTATGTATGCTAGAAAATATGTTATGCCATGGTAGGTTGTGAATACATGTGTGTTGTTTTTATATTTTTTGTTTAATGAAAAAGGATAGATTGAGTCGTTAACTGAGTCCATTTATAACCTTATCTGGAATTTAAACATTGTGTGGTGCGCGCTACTTATAAGTAGTATATGACGTGAGTGTAAACGTAATGTCTGGCAGCAGAAAATGGGGGAAGATCAAGAAAGTAAGAAGAGTGGGAACACAGTGGAATTTGTATGAAACTCATGAATAGTAGTGAAATGTCAGACAATGGATTGATAATTGATTGAAGATTTGCAAATTAACCGTTTACGATATGGTTTTCCTATTTTACTGAATAACTCTGTCATTTTCGTTAAATCCAATTCGGTTGCCCTCACCTGTGTTCTCCTTTACTGCAATTGTACTTCTAAACCCAGTGGTTAGCGTTTTTTTCTTAACGAGTTCGTTTTTTACGGGATGGGGTTGCCAATTTTAAGCCCGACCCTTCTCCCTTTATCCGGTCTTGGGACCTGTAGTAGCCCTCAAATGGGCTCCAGGCGGAGTTAAACCCAGTGGTAATGAATGTTATTTGCACATTACGGTAAACTGAAGACAAATTAGAAATGTAAACTATTGAATGTCGATTCAATGATCTGAAGAAGGTTAAGCATTTAATTGTGTGGCCAGAAGAATCTAGAGGTCCAGACTGATAAGTTCGTCACTTAGTATGCTTGAGGCTATTACGAGTTTACCTTAGTCGATAACGCGAACGAGACTTTTACCAGCTTCCAAGGAGGCAACCTTGAATACCCAAAGCGAAAAAAAGGCTTTGTAAGCGTAGAAGTATATTCTACAAACACCCAGCAATCACAGTACAATCAAGCATACAACTCTCGTTTATTTATACAACATAAGAACGTCCTTGAGACAGTTAAGAAAATAGCATACTAAAATACACAGCAGCCAATCACAGCCATGGATTTTCCTGGTGGGAATTGAAATTAAGCATCATCTACAAAATAATTGTACAAACTGTGAAAAACACTACATAGGATAAAGTGGACGGCCTCTTCAGTTCCGTTTACGTGAACACCAATTAGCAGTCAAACGCCACGACAACGCTTCGCTTATATCAATACACACCGACAATTATGGACACACATACGATTGGAACAACGTTGAAATACCTGGATACGGGGAGTACAAGGAACACTAGAGAATTTTTAGAAGTTTGTCACTCAGGTCTATCAGCTATCAATAAATACATCGACATTGACCCAATATATCAACCAATCAGAAAAATCACAGGTGACAGATCAAAAGGGGGATACAATCAGAATAAAGGTGCAGCAGCAACCAATCAAGATCGAGGTTAACAGAACAAGCTACAGGTCAGACGTGGAGAAATTCGAATACTTCACTTCTCCCATCTGAAGTTTGTGCTGATGATGTTGTTCAGAGGAACAATGAAAGCTCAACAACCAAAACATCCAGCTCAGAGGACGGAACACCACCACAATATAGTTAAGTATTAACAAGAGTCTGAGAGCAACCTTAATATCACTGATTAGTTGCCTCATCTTTAGTCAAAAAAATTGCGAAGCGAACAAAATCTTACTCCCTTTAAACATAAATGGATTAGAGTCATCGCTCTTATCATGGATCTCATTCGTCCATCATTTCCCTATGTTAGGCCCACTTAAACTGATAGCAGGATAAAATTTCATGTACTTCTCCGGGCTCTTTATTTCACATTCTGTTGAGAAAAATTTTCTGCAAGTTTTATATTACAAGCTTATCAGGCTGTTACATCTTATATGCTTTTGGTCAGGGATCACTGCTGTATAGCGAATTAACATAATAGACAAAAGGGTTTTTCAGACAAACTATGAGCTTTTAGGACGTAGCAGTGGTAGTGTGTTTTTCATGGTACGCGAGGAAATGTAAGAACAGTATGCTCATACTAAGGACAATCGGTAACTAGATGGTACTATTGGCGATTCAATAGATTATATGACACATCCGTTAACTGACGATAATCATTCAGAAACTCATATGGTTATATGTGCCCATAGAGTTGCATGCAACGCAAACTAGATGACGTTTCGCAGGCTGTATGGGTTCTTGACCGCTAGAAGTTAAGCCGCAAATGTTGATTTTTGGGACCCGACCCATAATAGCTGTATAGTTTTATCAGAGTATGTGGCCAAATAGTAGATAGAGGACAGCCAGTTTCCAGTGGCGTTAGAAAGACGACGCTTTCTCCGGAGATGTTGTTGCTTCAGATTTTCCGCTCAAGGGAAGATCTGAAGATTGAAACATCAAGAATAATATAGCCTTTAGTAAAAATCTGTATATTCATGAATTTTCTCAAGTTTGTCTGACATTTGCAAGCAACCTTATTGCTGATTATACAAAATACCTCAACGAATAAAGTCAAAGCGATCAACTGAATAATAACAACAAAAACACCCATTTAATATAGCAACAGATTTTAAACCACATAAAACTGTCAAAAAAATAAGAGCGAGAAGTACAAACAAAACGAATAATGCTAATCGTGTGTGAAAGTAAAGGTGTCAAAATTGTTAACTTTACTTTCAGAGTAAGAAACTCAAATCATTATTTAAGATATGCAACACCAACATTAGATCAACTGACATCCGAAAATATAAAATTGCATTGGCATTCCGTATATTAAATAGTGAGTTTTAGCTCTTTCATGTCACACTTATTTGCTCCCTCCGGAACTACTTATCTTCGACGCTAAAGCAAGAAGTTTTAAAATCCGAGACAACGTAAACAGATAGTGAAATTCTGAATTATTCAGAGACTGAACAATGATTGAAACTCCTTATCCGAATGTGTTATCAGCCCTATATGTGAATACTTTCAAGACTCCTCATTGGAATACGAAATAAAAAGGTCAAACACTGGAGGTGGCCCAAAAGACTTTTCAGAAGTCCTCTTAGGTTCCGGCCTTGAGGAAAATGTGATCCATTGCTACTAGATATAAAGCCTGTTAGGCAAAAGCTTCCTTTCTATCGTTCACAACCACAATATTTCTTCACTTTACAAAAGCCTTCGGTACAGTACCCCAAGCACTCCTAATTGCACGTTTGCAGTAATGGGCTTCACTGAATCACCCCTGTCTTGGCTTAGAAGCCGCCTTGAGAATAGAAAGTTTCGTATCGAGATAAATAGAGTGCACTCGAGTTAGTGAATCTCAACCTCGAGGGTTTGGCAGGGGACCATCTTAGGTCCACTCCTCTTCCTGATACTTATTAACGACCTGTTAGACAAAGTCAGCTCCGTGGCATCGATCTACGCAGACGATGCAAATATCTTGTGATCCATTAGGAGCGAAGAGGGTTCAGCTGAGCTCCAAAACGACCTTACATCCGTTGAGGAATGGGCAGTGAAAAACGGTTCAAAACTAAACCAGCCGAAATGTCACGTCATGTACACTCTGCCCTATATGACGCAAACGATTTACACTCTCGGTTGAAAACCACTCCCTGGTGTCTCCTCGGAGCATGATCTTGGTTTACTAACCAATGAAAGCCTCCACACCAGTTCGAACGATAAAGGGGATGCAGCCAAAGCAATTCCAACCCTTCACTTTAGGCGAAGACAAATTGGTGCTATCACCCACAGTTATTCTTAACGTTGCTTAAGACAAATGTGCGCCTACACCTTGAGGTTCGCAATGTCGTCGCAAACATTACTCGCTTGGATCAAGTGCACAGAGGAGCAACGAAATGGGCGGTGCGATTGCAAAATAAAACTTACGAACAGAGACTCCAAAGATTGGAACTAGTCCCACTGAGTTACAGGAGAATCAGAGGTGACCTGATTATTACAACATATTAAACACGTCAAACCATTCCACCTTGAGCACCTTACAGATGCATCAACACCACTCCACTCTACACAGTCCTTGAAAAATTTCGCATCAAAGAGCGAACACTTAGGTTTATGCATACTTTTTCCCGTTAAGAAACGTTGCTAATTGGAATGCTCATCCAACGGAGGTCACCATAGCCCCCTCAGTGAAACAGCCTTAAGAAGAGACATGATAAACACGTACGTACTTACTCATTATCCTCTCACTCGTGGATAAGCTGTACCTGATGCATGCCTTGAGATTTGCTAGTCGTTATGATTGCCACTTCAGATCACCAACTTAATCTATTTCGCCTATTATCTCTGTTTCCTATCCATTGCCTGTACTTCAATTCTCTCGCACAATCTTCAGTACCGATTAATAATTAATATTTATTTACCGAGTTCTGAAATCCTCTTCTTATTGGCATTAGAGTTTTCACATTATTATTCTTCACATTTCAATTCACTGATCTCCGACCTGGTAACGTGATAGCTGCTGGTATCCAGAAGCCCTATTGCCCTGAAACAGACGTATTCATTAAAATCACGGGACACACAAACTCACAAACCACTGCCAACTGACTAGAATTAGTGAGGTCGAGTAGCTAGACATGCATCCATTTGACACTATCAAACACGTGGAACCGTGTCGGAAGATCAGGAAGAAGATATTGTATATTGGACTGAGGGATTATTCTTACGACTGAAGACTAAATATCAGAACTTCCTAGAATTTCAGGATTTTTTCACAGCTTTTTGGCTTATTCATAAAGCTATATAGCTAAATTAGTAAAGTAAGCAATAACTGCTTACGTGCAAGTAATTCTCGCCATTTGTACAAGAGAGTTGTTGTTTCTCTAACGTCTGACATACAGGCGGGGCTTTGAGATATTTTTCGGTTACGATCCTAATTTGGGCCCAAGTATAGGTTGCATTTCTGACATTTATGATGAAAACCTTGTTCTAGAAATGACAACCCCTGCTCAAAGACGACTTCTGCGTGATTTGAAACGCCTACAGTCCGATCCGCCTCCTGGTATTTGTGGCTCTCCAGTTGAAGACAATGTTATGGTTTGGAATGCTGTTATTTTTGGACCGGACGACACTGCTTTCGAAGATGGGACATTTAGGCTTCGTCTAGACTTTACAGAAGACTATCCTAACAAGCCTCCTAGAGTTGTATTCACATCTAAAATGTTTCATCCTAATGTGTATACGGATGGTAGTATATGTCTAGACATCCTTTCCAGTGCATGGAGTCCTACTTATGATGTTCTAGCCATATTAACATCTATTCAGTCCCTTTTGGATGAACCGAATCCTAACTCTCCGGCTAACAGTATGGCAGCTCAACTTTATGTGGAAAATAGACGTGAATATGAGAAACGCGTTCGTGCTTGTGTTGAAGAGAGCTGGTACGAGGAAGATGTGTAATCACGAAACTTGAATAACAGTAATCACATTAATTTGTTTTTGTACATAACTATTTTTTGTACAACCGCAACCGGCATTTAGTTTCGCGTTTCCATAATTTCATTTTTTTGTGTGGTTGGATGCGCCCTGAGAAACCTATTATTTTACTTAATTGTAATTTCCTTGCCTGTGATCCAGTGGTCCAGCTGCCTGAGTTAAATTCGAGTAAATAAAATTTACTTAGCAAGTCGTTTTCTCTGTTAGTCAGTGTTTGTTTGTCGCAACTGAGTTGCTTAAGCTATTCTAATGCAAATTGCTTTAAAATTCATACTAATAAGCTGTAGCCTTAAATATTTTTATTTGCTTAACGGTTATTTGACGTGAAGTAATTGTTTTTGCAGTCGTTTAACAGCGCCCTGTTGTGACTAGAAAACTGGTTTCTTTTCCATTTGACTTTACCCAATATATCTGTCGTGTCAAATCTCGAATTACTACCGACTTCCTCACAATAGTCCTCATAGTTCAAGTTTTATTTCACAAAGTATCTGAAGCATCATTTTGGCATCCATACTTAGTGTTTGATTCTGTTTATTTCGTAAGGATTATAGGTAAAGAGTCTTTTAGTAAAATGACTGGGCTAGGATTATCCTATCGTTTTAATGTCAGTGTTATCAATTGTTGGTTTCACAGCAATATTCTGTATTGGCTGCTGTTTTCCAACGATTTTGTACTGTTGTTTACACCTATTCGATAACCGTTTTGTAAATGTAATGGACATAAGACCTAGTAATGTTTAACTGTAGTTTTAGATGGATTAAGTTATCTCAAATTAGTCTTCTGTCCACACAGAAGGATCATTTCTTTTTAGAGCGTGACCTCGTCACCTAAGCAACAACTTCTTTAGGGTTTTTCATATACGCCCTTCATGGATAGTGTTAAGTGAACCCTACCCCGGCTCGAATAAATCTAAGGCAAACAAAGTATTTTACTGCCTGGTTTACTGAAATATTACGAGCAAGTTAATCTATCTAAAACAATTATCATGTCCAGTGCTTCATTCTTAATCTATCTTTTCGAGTTCTCAGTCCTCCAGTGCGTATGCTGTTCAGGTTTAAAAAGCGGTCAGCGATTAACAAATGATGAAATCTATAGATAGAGACGGTTTTAAAAATTCTAATCATATTTCCACTATTTGAGTCAAAATCTTGTCACTACTAACAGTGTTTCATTGTTTTATATCTGTTTATTCCTTTAAGTTCCTTGATTTTTAACTAGCATGCTAGTTATTTCACCTTTGTTCACTAGGTGTTTAAAACATTTACGCTACTTATGATGTTTTGTATGTAATCGAAGACCCAATGTCTTCGCGTAATATCAAACTTTCCGGACTTGTTCTTCCTAGTAAAAAAAGCTGTGAGATCAATACTTCTCTCAAAAGTACGAAGATAAAGATTATTTGAAATTAGTAATTCCTTTCAAGTTTTTGATTATAAAGAACGATTGTTCTTATGATTCTTACCCAGTTTCTAGAAATGATTGATAGGAATATAGAAGCAGCTGGGAATATTTAGTGCTACTATGTCTCGCTATTTCCATTTTTTTGTTTATGCAAAATCAAAAGCAACGTGAAACTACGTACATCAGTTCATGTTGCCGTACCACATTACCACAGGCAATTCGAATCCCATAGTAGTAGAGATAGTAAAGGTATCAGCAGTAATCGGAGAGATTAGGATTAGAAAGTGATGAGGAATTAAAAGGTTTAGTATTTGAGAGAACACAGAGAATGAATGCACCTGCGCCACTGCAAACGGTTTTGAACCGTGTCATTCGGTGTCTCTAACCATCGATTATTATCATCTCGCGGACCCCGATCAGGTAGTCGACACTTACCGACATGACTTAGTCCACTTGTCAGTGACTCTGTCCACACGTATCCACTGTGTCGGTGCAGAGTTGTCCCGTGTGCAGTACTTTCCACCTGTTTAGGCAAAATGTCATCACTAAATATCGTCTTGTTACAATCATAAGGCGAATGATAAAAATAATCTATATTTGTAATTGCCCAATCTGTAGAAAAATTAAAAGTTATTGCCAATTCATTCAATGCTTAATTTATTTAAAATTATCAAGTTAAACCTTGGTAATAATACCTAAAACACGAATGGTTCATCATACGAAAATAGTTCGAAGCAAGATTACACGTGTTACTGTTGTCATGTATATAGAATTTGTGGACACTATAGCTTACTATCTTATATCGGACTGAAGTGACTTATCAGTATTGATTGCTGTATTATGTTCCCTAAATAATGGTTGTCTATGTAAAGCTTTTCGTTGACTGGGTTTTAGAATGTCATTAGTATGACCAATCTTTTCATTAATATGCAGGGCCTCTATTTGTTTATAGTTAGTTATTGATCGTATCATTCACCGTTATTATGGGTAACAGATTTTATCAGAAAGGTTAAGGTGAAATCACCGGGACATTTATTTGTATAGAATACTGACAACCCGCATTTCAGCTGTCCTCATTATTGACATTTGTCAAGAGTTCCCTAGCTTTTACACTAGTGAAATAGCAGCGTAATAATTGCAGTACCTGGATTTCAGCCATGGACATACACTTCTGAATAATGTTACATTTATTTTAGTTTTCTCAGCAAAGCATTATCATCAGTCCTCGCATATTGAGTTGTGAAATCTAAATTGGATTACTGGGCTAATTATATTATTCATATCTAAAGAATTTCTTGGAACTGGTTAGCTAGATTATCATCATTGAAATCCCCTGATATGGTCACAGTGGAACAAAATACTATAGTCAGTTAGTTACAACGTTGAACTTAGTACGTAGATATATCGGTTCAAGTTGTCATACCACATTAGCATAGACAGATGGAATTGCTATTTCAAATCCAGTAGTAGTAGAAGTGTATTCAGTAATCAGAAAGATTAGGTTTCAAAAATTTTACTCAGTGAGTATAATCCAGTGAAGTGAATTCGACAAGAGGAAGACGAAAGTCATGAGGAATTCAGAAGATTAGAATTTGACAGAAGACAAAGAATGAATGCAACTGTGCCACCCCAAACAGTTTTCAGTCATGTAGTTCAAGGTCTCTAACTATAGGTTACTATCACCTCGCGGATCCCAGCCAAGTATTCTACACCTACTAACATGGCGCAGTCCAGTTGTCCGTGAATTCATGGATTCGTTGCATGTTTTGGTTTGGTCGCTCCCAGCTTACTACCACTGCATGATACAATATCGCTCGATAAGACAGTCGTTGGTTGGGCATATGTGACACACATTCCAAGCACAACTGATGAAAATTCACTACTTCATCGATTCATCTGCCATTATGGGAGTCTCATCAGTGCTGACGGCCTGGTGACTGACGAAATCTCAGCTCGGATACAGAAAGCTCGATTGGCTTTTGCCAACCTGCGTCACTTATGGCGTAGGCGTGATATCCGTTCTCTAATCAAAGGACGGGTGTACTGCGCAGCAGTTCGTTCCGTTCTCCTATATGGCTGTGAAACATGGCCGTTAAGAGTAGAAGATGTTCGTAGGTTACTAGTATTCGATCATAGATGTTTAAGAAGCATTGCTCGTATATCGTGGGACAACCGAGTAAGCAATGCTGTCGTTAGGAAACGAGTACTAGGTAAGCATGGCAGAGCAATAGATGAAGTGGTGAAACTTCATCAGTTGAGGTGGTTGGGACATGTGTTACGTATGCCTAACCACCGACTTCCTCGACGAGCTATGTTTTGTGGTGTAGGAGTGGGTTGGAAGGAAGTTAGGGGCGGCCATACCAAAACATGGCAGAAATCCATGAAGTCACTGACTAGTGGACTGAGTCATGTTGGTAGATGTAGGCTACCTGGTTAGGGTCCGCGAGACGAAAGTCATCAATGGTTAGAGACCTTGAACGACATGGCTCAAAATCGTTTGCAATGGCGCAGGTGCATCCACTTTTTGAGCTCTCTCAAATCCTAATCTTCTGGAATCGTCAGCACCTTTACCTTTGTCTTTCTAACCTTGTCTCACTGAATTATATTTCTTGAATAATATCTTCGAACCCTAGTCTTCTTTATTAACATTAATACCTCTACTATCTTATCTTATCTTACCCTTTTCCTAACAACAGAACTTCTTACCTTATGCTCTTGGGATATATGAGCAATGCCTTGAAGACATCTATGATCGGGAACCAGTAACGTACGAATATCCTGCACTCTTACTGGCCATATTTTACATCTATGTAGTTGAACGGAGTGAACTGCTACACAGTAATCTCGTCTTTTCGTTAGCAAACTGATATCTCGCCTACACCATAAATGACGCCAGTTAGCAAAAGCCAGTCAAGCCTTCTGTATCTGTGCTGAGATTTCGTCAGACACCAGGCCGTCTAGACTAATGAGTGAAGCGGTCAGCACGGTCATCACCCCATATCACTATTTCAGGTGCCGATGCAAACCCATCCTGAAGCAACATTTCGCGTTTTGAGGGAGCGAATCGCATCCTGGCTATGCTTGTGTTGTTGCTTAGGTTAGTCAGAAGACTGCGTTTTGTCAGCACCCTCACCAAGTAGAGCTATGTCATTGGTATGTTCTAAGTCGACAAGCCAGTCTCCTGGTAGAATGTCAACTCTTAGTGGAAGTGTTATCTCTAGAAGCATGTCTGTAGGAAAGGTGAATAGGAATGGAGAAAGTGAACACTCCTGACGAACACCGCCCGAGGTAATCGGTTCAGATGACAGTTCACCATAAGCTTTCACTCAACCAGCAGTGTTTGAGCACAGAGCTTGTACAAGGTTAATCTAATACTTTGGTACTCCCTTAAATGATGAACACTGTCATATAATCTCACAATCGGCATCAAATGTCGCCTTAAGGTCGAGAAATACAACTGTTGTGGGACGACTGAATGTGTGTCTATGCTCTAAGACCTGACAATGTGAATAAATGATCTATACAGCCATGTCCAGGTCTGAAACCAGCCTGGTTTTCTTGAG